AAATCAAAGAAGATTTAAATATATGAAGAAGCATACTGTGTCTACCTAATACATGGAAAAAGGTGTGTAAGTACACTCAACATTTAAAAAATTTCAATCCTCCAATTGATGTATAGACTTCATGTAATACCAATAAAAATTCTGGCAGAATATTTTTCAGATATAGATAAGCCGATTCTATAAATCTGTATGGGAAAGCAAAAAAAAAAAAAAAGACCAGAAATATTGAAAAAGGAGAATAAAGTTGGAGGAGTGATGCTACCTAATTTTAAGACTTATTATAAAGTGACACTGTCAAAAGGACAGGCGCATATTTCAATGCAACATAATACAGAATCTCCCACCCAACATAAATCTCCCAAACCCACATAAATATTGCCTATGCTGCTGCCTATAGGTATCTGAAAAACATAAAAGCAATTCAATGATGAAAGAATAGTCTTTTCAAGAAATGATATTGGAAAGTCAGACATTCATTCTAAATAAATGAAACCCTGATCTGTTCTCCATCATTATAGTTTTGCCTTTTGGATAATGTCATATAAATGAAACCATACATACAATACAATACCTTTTTGAGACCTGATCCTTTCATGCAAGTCATTGCATACATCAGTAGTTTGTTTTTAATTCCTGAATAGTATTTCATAATATTGATGTACTCCAATTTTTTTTTAATCAAAGGACATTTGAGTTGTTTCCAGTTTGGGGCAATTATGAATGGAACATCTATAAACACTTTACATAGAACTTTGTGTGAACACACATTCTCATTTCTTTGGGGCAGATTTTCTCAATCTTGACACTACTGAAAATTTGGACTAGCTATCTCTTTGTTTGGGGGGCTGTTCGGTGCACTTTAGAAGGCTTAGCAGCATCCCTGGCTTCTACCCATTAGATTCTAGCAGTATTCAGACTACATTCCAGTTGTGACAATCAAAATATCCCTAAATTTAGCCAAATGTCCCCTGGGGGCAAAATCATTCCTGGTTGAGAACCAGTGGTCGAGGGTAAATAGTTAGGAATAGGACAGCTGGGTCATATGGCAAATGTGTTTTTAAATTTATAAGAATCTGTCAAATTGTATTCCAGAGTGGTTGTGTCATTTTCATATCACCAACAATGTGATGTAAAATTTGCTTTGCCCTCTCACCAGCATCTGGTATTGCCAGTATATATATTTTTTCTGACTTTCTTATAGGCATGCAGTGGTTTTAATTTTCATTTCCCTAATGGGGTTTACATGGTATTCTTCAAACTGAGAGGGTCCTGGTTTATTCCCTGCCTCCAAAGAGCATAGTGGTTGTTGAAGATTGCTTGAAAATTTAAAGTAATTCCTCTCATTAATTATCATAGAACTAATGCTTACAAAGGTTTTCAGTATTTGGCAGAGGAGGAAAAGGGAGACCCTGGGAGACTGAGTTGGAAAATACCTTTCTGTACATTCATGCAGAAAGACACCTGATGGCAAAGATTTATTAGTCTGTTAACAAAGGCTGAGATCTGAAATGATACTCCCTTGACACAAACCCTGGAATTGGACTAGAAAACAAAGAGGCCTCATTCTATCACCCACAGAAAAGAGCAAGAACCCAATTCTCTATAAGAACAGAAAGAGGCTTTGAGCTAAGGGGTAGGAGGAAAATCAGGGACCAGGAGACCTGGGAGGCAGGACACCTGAATTTGAACTACCGCTCTTCCACTCAGTCGATTACCCTGGGCAAATAATTTTTATCCTGAATCCAAATTTCCTCATACTTTAAATAAGAATTATAACCTTTATCTCACAGGGTTACAGTGATGACAGAATGAGATAGTGTGTTTGAAAATGCACAGCATGCCTCAGGCAATTAATACATGTTGAGCTAATGAATAAATCTTTTTCAGAGTCTGTAAAGGTGAAGTAAGAAGTTAGTTGAACATATTTAGTCTATGGATTTCATATAATTGTTTTACTTCAAATTAGCCAACTTTGACTGAATGCCAGGAAGTTGATAGCTTTCTGTGTGATTTAACACCTTTCATGACATCATTCATATCATGAATTTAAAGAGAATTTATACCCAAACTATCCAACAAGGGTGAGACAGAATAAAAAAAATTCAGATATGCAAGGACTCAAAAAATTCTATCTGCAGTGCACTTTTTCTTAAGAAGCTATAAAACCTGTCATAGTGTATTCTCTGGCAAACTGTAGGGTGCTGGACTCAGACAGGTCTCGGTCTGCATCCTAGCTCCACCAGTTACAAACCAGATGTAAGTCAATTAATCTCTGAGAACATTAGTTCTCTAACATATAAAGCAGGGTGATGCCTAATTTATAAAGTGCAGATAAAGTGTGTAAGGCGGTGGCATTTAGGTAGTATGCAAGGCAGGTAGGTGCCCAGCAGAGGTTCATGGCTTACTTTCTCCAATCCTCACTGCCTAGCACAATTCAATAAGCTATTTTTATGTTCCATTTCTATAGGTCTAGGGTCGGGAGGTCAGAGTATATATAGACTCATGGGACATATAAACTCATGGAAGGGATTTGCTCTACATTCAGAGACTCCTGAAAGCCCCTAAGGCTTCAGCGTTTTCAAGACTCACAGGAATAATATTAGACACTCAGATGAGCCAGTGTGAGTGTCATAACCACTACACTATGGACAGTGAGAGAACCATGGAAAGTCAGGGAAACCATACATTTCAGGTATTTGGGATAGGCCTTTATGATATACCATATAGGCAGCAGGCATGCCAACTCACAGGCTGAGTGTGACAATGTCTTAATAAACATTATGTCTATAGTCATAAAAGCTTCTTTCCACTTTCAAACCCATGATTTCACTGAACAGTGCCAACAGAATCAGAGAATGTGCCAACTGCTCTGATGGTCACAGAGCCTTCTTCTGTGTATTTGTCCCTTTGCAATGTGACTTTGCCCCTCCTTTTATTAAGGATGGAGTCTATCTGCCCAGAGGCTAGCTCAGCCATGGGACTTGCTTTGGCCAATGTTTCCATGGGACATTAGTAAAGGTGATGCAAGCAGAGGCTTGAGCTGAACCTCCACAATGGGGGCTGCCCCCTCTTCCTGCCCTGATCCATACTGTAAGGGGCCTGAGCCTTCTCAAGGATGAAATCTGGACAGAGGCTCAGCAAGAGCCAGAGTTGTGAATCAGGCCATCTTGGATGGTCCTGAGCCACTAAGACTAACTGCCAGATGCTGTAGCCCCAGGAGAGGCTCCGGAAAATTCCAGACCAGAATGCTGACCCCAGAATAGGAACAAATCCAGTGTCTCTGTATTAAGCCACCCAGTTTTGGTGTGGTTTACTCCACCACCACGAAAAACTGATATAGCCCAGCAGGGACCTTACTACCAAAATGCATTCTACATCTGAACAACAAAGATGCTCCAGGAGCTTGGGAGACATGCCCAAGATCACGCACTCAGTCTGGGACTCTTAATCTGTGACATCTGAGTCTGGGCATCTGGTTGGGGTCCACCAGGAAGACCCCTTTCTTAGTTCTCAGTTGCCATTAAACCAGATGAAGCACCCAGAGCCTGTCACTAACTGCTTTCACAGATTTTACCAGTTTTATAACAAGTAATGGATTTCTCCCATTGCAAGCACACCCTCTTCCCCCAGAGTGTCTGTAGAGGGAGTCGGGGCTGCATGTGTCAGGTGGTGATGGGCAACTTCACTCCAACACTGGTTTCCAATGCAGACCCGTATAACTTGGGGTGGAGTTATTTTCCTCTCTCTTCCATGTCTTCCTTTTCCTTCTGGGGACCAGCCCTCTTACCCATGGCCCCACTAGCAGCTCTGGTGATGGGCAAGCTGAGTTCACCTTTGCTGGAGGGGACTGCAAACTCCAGCAGCAGCCCTTTTGGAGGTAGCACTTCACAAGTCTTTGGAGGTGCAGTAAGTAGCACAGAATGTCTGATTTCTCTTGCTTTAGCCACAAGAAACAGACATGTTGTGATTTGCGAGCAGGAGGATGAATAAGAATGGCTTCTGTAGTTCTGAGTGTGCCTGTACGGAAACCCCCACCTCTGCCTGGCCTCGGCGCTCACAGTTCTCACTGCATCTATAACTACTGGTACAGTTGCCATTCAGTCTTTCTCACGCATCTGAACTTGGTAGAGAGCTCATGCTGGTCTTGCCTTCCTGGGGTCTCAGAGAGGGTCCTCCCGGTGGTCACCAGTTCTAAACAGCCTATCCATGATGGCTCTCTGGCTGGTGGTTTGCCTTGCCTGGACCCCAAACTGGTCTCCATCCTTCTCTCTGAGTGAGTTGTGGACATGCCTCCCTGCCTCCAGGGTCTCCTGCTGGGGCTCTGCCAGTGAGCCTTGGAATTGGGTACTGTGAGTCTTGCGGGAAGAAGGTAGGAAGTTGGTCAAGTGCATCCTTGAGTCTGACCCTTGCTCCCTTCCGACCTCTTCAGGTGCTTCATCTGGTTCTTTCTGGGAAAAACTGCAGGGCCAGTGTCCATGCTGGGAGCATCAGTGCAGGGTCTGTTCCCATCTGTCCTGGGGCTGGAGGGCCAGGGCCTGGGCAGGAGTGGTGCTGTACATGTCACTCACCATGGGGCCAGGCTCCAGCATGATGCTTACCTGCTCTGGAACCCTGCTGGCCCAAGTTTCATAGAGGTTACTTTAAAAGACCACCACCGTTGCCTGGTGGTCTAGTGGCTAGGATTCCAGCAGCAGCCTGAAGCTTCAGAGCCTGGTGAGTGTGTGGGCAGCTTGGGCCCTCCCCAGGCTGGCTGGACACTGGGTCCCTCTCTGCAATGCAGGGGGCATGCTTGAATTCATGAGATGCACATGGTGACTGTGTACACTTTCTTCCAAACATCCGGCAGGGTCCTGTCATCCCCTACCACCTGCCCTGCACCCTTGGTAGAATCTAAGATCTTAAGGCAGGAGTCCTCCTTGTGTTGTCCCCAGCTTGGGGGTCCCACAACCCCCCCCCATCACTTCCCAAGCCATCAGGGGGAGGGCTGGGGCAGCACTTACCCCCCACCCGAGCCGCCATTCTTGCTGAAGTGTGTGCGTGGCTCGCTGGAGGCCAGCTTCAGCAGCTCCGTCCATTCCCGCTCCCACTCCTCCTCCGTGTACACCAGCCCTGACTGGCACAAAGGGGGGTGGGGTTAGGAGGTGGTGTCCACCTCTTCACGCTTGCACCCACATCAGTCTGGCTGAGAGCCCGACTTCCTGACTTGGTCAGCCCCTGGGGTGGGCACCTGTTAGTGGCCAAGGGCCGTCAGCATTTGCTCTGGACAGAATTTGTTCAGAACCCCCAATCTCCAACCTCAATGCTGTCGGAAGTCCACTCAGCAACAGTGGTCATTCTCAGGGGCTAGAGCGACTGAAAGCGACCTGCACATGTACTAGATTGGGTGCCGACCACTGACATGTGTGCAGGGACCTGGGCAGACCCATCTTCAAGGGCTTCCATGCCAGCAAAGGGCCAGTGCTCACTAAGGTTCTGGGATAAGCATTCTCTTTGGACTGAGCACACACCCTGGGCTGGGGCCACGCCAGGGCCAATCAGCGGCCGCACCAGCAGTGACTCACAGGTGACTATCTAACTCACCCTTCAGGTTGGGACAGCCTTGTGCGTGAGGATAGGTGGTCTTCATAGTTATGCCAGGACAGGTGAGGGGAGTGGATGTCTGGTCGCTGTGGGCAGGGGCTGACTTGGAATGGGTTCCTCTTTAGTGGGTTTGAGTAGGGAATGGAGCCATTGCTGCCTCATCTCATAAGACAGACTGGATATTAGGGCCCCAAATAGGACCCCATCTTGGCCTTGGCTGCGCCCGGCACCGTCCCAGCTCTGCCATGCTGACAGGTACCCACCTCCTTGTTCTGCTGCGTCTGCTGCCACCTCCACCTTCGCTTCAGGGCCTCCCTCTCGGCCCCCGTCCTCATCATGGTGTAGAGAGCTTTCCGCAAAACCAGGTCCCGGTCGTGAAACCCCCACATTCCTGCAGGCAGGAGGCCCGTGAGGAGTAGGGGAGAGAGGGAAGATGTGAAAGTAAAGTGAGTGTGTTAGTTTCTCAGTCGTTTCCGACTCTTTGAGACCCCATGGACTGTAACCCGCCAGGCTCCTCTGTCCATGGAATTCTCCAGGCAAGAAGAATTCTCCAGGGGATCTTCCTGACCCCAGGGTCAAACTCAGGTCCCCTGAACTGCAGGTAGATTCTTTACCATCTGAGCCACAAGAAAATATGTGAGGAAGGGGCAAAACAGGAGGAGTTGAGACTGCCACCACCTACCAGTCTGGCCCCCGTAGCTGAGAGAGCAGATAATGCCGTAGTGACAGATATTCAGTTCTCACAATTAGCAAGCATCTGTCCTCTGCCCTCCCTCCTGATGCTTCCTGCTGATGCAGGCGCTGAATGAAGGAGCACAGCCCCTTCTTACAACAAGAGCCATTTCACTAAGTCTCGGGGCCCTTTGCAGGCTGCCCTCAACCTCTCAAGGTTTGTTCTGAGGGATGTAATGTTTGTGGTTCTGATCTTGTGTTTGAGTGGGAGAGAGCCTGTGGAGACAGCGGATTATGTGTCCTCATGCAGGGCCCCAAGCCAGGACGGCAGTCAGACCCCAGTTTAACCAAGGGTCTGCTGCATCCAATGTCTGTAGCCCTGAGGCATCTCTGCACACATCTGGGCCCTGGGAGAGCACTTGCTTCCGAGGGAAGTGCCTCACCTGGCCCAGGTATCATAAGACAAACCAGCACCTCTGACTACATCCTTGGGGAAGCTCAGAAGTGGCCAAGAAACCCAGTCAGTGGAAGAAGCGCCATGAGAGATGCAGCTCTGGCTATAGGGAGAGACTAGGGAAATTAATACATTCATTCATAAATTCATTTGTTTAACTGAATACTATTAATTCCATACTTATTTCACAGTAGGGTGAGGCACACCATTCTAAGTGATGGGAGTACCCACAGAAGCAACTAGAACAGACGAAATTCCTAAAATCTCATGGAGTCCACACTGAAGGGAAGGGAGGGGAGGCAGCCATCAAATTAACATGTGACATACTTTGTTGCAGGCAGGGGCAATGTAAGGGGAGATGAAGCAGGCTAAGAGGACAGAGTGCCGGGTGGTTTGGTCACAGCGTGAGTGGAGACACTGGGGCAAAGACATGAGCGGTGAGGGACAGGGTTGAGTCACCATCCCAGGTGGAGGAAAAGGTCAGGGCCAACCCTGAGGGGGCCCACGTGGCGTCCTAGGGAGGAGAAGGTGTCTGTAGTTGGGATAGAAGGGGTGAGGTGGAGAGTGGAAAGGTGGGCTTTGGAGTGAGCTGGGACCCTCTAGAGAGCTTTCAGAGAGCAGCGACCCTCACTGACTGATGATCAAAGGCTCAGGCTGGCTGTGCATCCTTTTGTGCAAAGACGTGATAACAGGGGGCTGCCGTGGGCTTTCCGGTAGTCTTTTTCTACAGACGGTGGGAGATGGCCATCAATGCTCCTTTTATGAACAGGCTGAGCTGAGCTTTCTCATCCCTCTGACCAGCCTGCAGCCTCCTCCCAGGCAGGGCAAGTCCTGGGTCAGTGTACTCATCATGGCTCCTTGTCTGGGTCTCTTGTGCAGAGAGAATCTCCTTGTCGCACACACGTTTGCCCACAAGCCTGACCCCAGGATTACTGTCATTTCTACATGTGCCCACACCCTAGGTCAATGCGAGGGCTGGCCAGCAGGTCTGGTAAGCACTTCTGGTGAGTGTTGAATGGCCACTTTGAGCAGACTTGCTTGTAAATAGTTTAACAATTTGAGTACCAAGGGGAAACAAAGTAGTGGGAGAAAAGAATCAACTGGCTGTGAGTCCCAGGTTCAGTCTCAGCCCAGCCTCTCTCACAGATAAAGGGCCACTTGCAGGAGGCTTTCTCCTCCCAGGCAGAACTGGGGGGCCTACTGTGCTCACCGTGAAACACCCGCCATCAGTCAGGACCACGGTGGCGTGTGACCGTTTGGCTTGTGGCCTTGTCCACCTATGGTCATGATGGGGCAGTGCCTGTGTACATTGAGTGTCAGAAGGACAAAGGCATTCCTGTGGTTGAGACTTTGCAAAGAGGAGGGATGTCTTCTTTTGTAATTTTTCTCTAGATTTGATACAGAATAAGGTGAAATAAGTTCCATAAGAGAGGGATACTGAATATTTTACGATGGAATAAGACACAACTTGCAAAACGTGTTTTTGAAGAATAGCGTGAAAAATTCAATTTACAATTTTAAGGGGAAAATATTGGATTCCAAACTGTGAACACTGTGAGATCCTAATTTCACTGGAAGTATAAACAAAAGTGTGGAAGACAATATACCAAAATATTAAAAGCAGACATCGCTGGGCAGTGGAATTGTTGATTGTTATTTTACTATGCTGAATGGGGAGTCAACAGACAGGAATGAATTAATATTGAAACAGAAAGGGGGCAGGTGGGTGGGTGCCCTTGTTTTCCCTATCACCCTTTGTCAAACCTAAGAAACATGGAATGTTTCCTTTGCACTTGGGCTCCATCCTCCTCTGGGTATCTCGGGGCCCGTCCCAGACACCCTGCATTTCCCTCGAAAACTTTTCGGGCTCAGCTCAGCCCACCTCTTATAGAACAGACCTCGAGCATCCTTGCTCTGGGTCATGGCACTGAGTTAAGGTCATGTTTACCTGGGGAGGTGAGTTTGACCAACAAAGACCATATTCTTGTTGGAGGGGCCCATCCCTGGAGAGGGTCCTCAGACTGCAGGAGTAATAAGGCACCACCAGCTCTGATGCTGGGGTCCTTGGCACAAATCCAGTCCTGCATGTGTATGTAAGCCTGGGTCCAGAGGGGTTACATGATCTTCCACAAAGTGTACTGTTACCTTCTGTCATCCAAACATTGCCACCCACACCTATGCATTTGCTGGTGTCACTTTTTGCAACCAGAAAGGTCACATCTCGGTTGGAAGAGTTTGCTGACCTCTCTGCAGTATATTCTGACTGTGCTGATCTCCATATTACTTACCTAAGTCTGTCTTTTTGTCAGTCTAAGTGCATCAGCTGCAGTCAGTGTGGTGGCTCCAGATCAACCCAGCCTCACGCACTGCCCCCGCCCCGCCCCCCGACCCGAGTTTCTGCTCAAGCTCAACAGGGCTCAGCCCTGATCCCAAACACCCTGTTAATTCCTGCCTTTCCACTTTATCCGTGTGTTCTCCCTGCCTGGAAGGTCCTATTTATACTCTTTCAAGTTCTTCAAGCCTCAGGAAAATCTCAGCTCCTTCAGGAAGTCCTCTTTGATTGCTCGAGACCCCGATGTCTGCTGCCCATCCGTGCAGGTCTGCTCAGGCCTCCTTCTATCAGGACAGATCTTTTCTCATTCATGTGTGCTCTATGCCCCCACCAAGCCTGCCAGCTGCTTGACAAGAAGGGTGGGGGTTGTTGCCTCCATCCCTTGGGGATCTCTTCAGTTGACAGTGATGCACATGGCTCTACTTAGTATAAGATTGTCCTCTAAGGATGCACAGAGCAGGCCTGGGCACTGCCACCCTCTGTCTATACTGCAGGGCTTACCCAGTGAGGCAGCATGTAAAAGGCAGTTCCCGTCCCCTGTCGTGGCCAAAGGAAGAAGCCGTTTACAGCTCGTGCACACGGTGGACCACCAATTCAGGCGACCTGGAACAGAAGCTCATGTTTAGAATCCCAGGACAAACATGGATGTTTGCTAAGTAAGCTTTAATATCAATGGATGATTTTCTAGAGGATTCTAGAGAACTTCAGTGGTAAGGTGGAGGGTTATGGCTGTGTGTGCTCCGTCGGTCAGTCGTGTTCAATTCTGCAACCCCATGGACTGTAGCCTGTTGGCTTCTCTGTCCATGGGATTTTCCAGGGAAGAATATTGGAGTGGGTTGCCATTTCCTCCTTCAGATGATCTTCCTGACCCAGGGATCGAATCCGAGTCTACTGTGGCTCCTGCTCTGGCAGGTGGACTTTTTACCCCTGAGCCACCAGTGTGATGGCTACTTATGCTCAGACAAAATATAGATATTTTCTCTTTTAAGATAAAAAATAGCCAAATCCTTCCATCAGTTAGCAAGAAATTCAAGATTAAAGCCTTCTCTCCTTGAATCTGGGAACATATTTTACACAAAATATAAAATTTTTCTACAATTTCCTTGAACACAATTTCTCTTCCCAAAAGTTATTTAAAAAGCCTTTCTTTGTTGATGCATACATACCTTTGAGAGTATGGTTTAAATTTAATTTTTTAAATTGATGTATAGTTGATGTACAATGCTCCCGGTATACAGCAAGGTGGTTCAGTTATACATATATACCTATTGTTTTTCAGATTATTTTCCATTATAGGTTATTACAAGATATTGAATATATTTTCCTCTGTTATACAGTGGGTCTTTATTAATTATCTATTTTACATATAGTAAAGTGTATTTGTTCGTCCCAAACTCCTAATTTATCCCCCTCTTTCCCCTTTGGTAACTATAAATTTATTTTTTCTGTGTCTATAGGCCTATTTCTGTTTTGTAAATAAGTTCTTTGTATCATTTTTTTTTTTTTTTTTTTTGAGAAGGAAATGGCAACCCACTCCAGTATTCTTGCCTGGAAAATCCCATGGATGGAGGAGCCTAGTCAGCTACAGTCCATGGGGTCACAAAGAGTCAGACACGACTGAGCAATTTCACTCACTCACTATCATTTTTTTTAGATTCCACATATCAGTGATATCACATGATATTTGTCTTTTTCTCTCTGACTACATTTAATTTTATACATCAAAACCATTGTAGGTATTTTGGTAGAATCATATTAAATTTCATTAACACATCTTGAGACTTTTGCTTCCAGGAAAACAAAGTAGACACCTTCTCTTCCTACTGTTTCTACTAAGTACAACTAAAACCCTTGGACATTATGTATAAAACAGTATGGGCAGACCAAAAGATGGAGAGAAGGCAGACTGGTTAAGAAACTCAAGACCTGAGCTCAACCTGGTGGTAAGTGCCCTGGCTTCCTCTTTGGCTCACAAACCCCAGATTGGATGCTAGAGAAGGTGACAGTCTGGAAATAATGGAAATCATAAAAAAAAAAAAATCATGCTCTTTCTAGACAGAATACCAGGAGAGGGTTAGTTGAGCCAGACAACCGCAGCTTAGAAACAGCCACTCTATTGCAGCTGTATCTGCAGAACAGACTGCAGCCCTCCTACCACTCAGCCAGCAGAGTGGGGAGCTGAGACTTCACCCTTGCCAGGCTGCGGAGTCACTCTCCACCCTCCCCCACTGCCAGGTGGTGCGGAGTCAGGGCTTCAACACTGCTGCATGGTAATGAGGATTCCACCCCTACCGCCCCCACCCCAATTGAGAACACACGGGGAGCCTGGACTTCCACCCCCATCGGATGGTGAAGAGGTCCCCCACCACTGCCAAACAGTACCAAGAAGTTCATTCCACATTAGCTGTCAGCAGAGGCAGCTTGGAAAACCTGTACATGCAGCACAAACATCGCATATTAATGCATATATATGAACTCTACAAAAATGGGACTGAAGAACACTACCATATGTAAAATAGATGGCTAGTGGGAAGCCACTGTATAACATAGGGAGCCCAGCCTAATGTGACAACATAGAGGTGTAAGATGAGGATGTAGGTGGTAAGCTTCAGAGGGAAGGGATATACACACACACACACACACACATACACATATATAAAATTATGGTTGATTTGTATTGCTGTATAGCAAAAACCAACACAAGATTGTAAAGCAATCTTACTCCAATTAAATAAAAAACCTGTATGTCCATTCCTATCTGGTGATTATCAATCAGTGGTGCATTGTACCTAAAGGAATGGTATCAGAGAAAGTCTGCTAAAACATAAGATTTAAATAAGATTCAGAGTCCTATAACTTAACACCCCAAATATAAAATTTTTAATTAAAAACTATTTGCACCAAGAACCAGGAAGACCTCAAATGGAAAGAGGAAAGACAACTAACCAATACCAACACAGATGATACAGATGTTAGAATTATCTGACAGAAATTTTAAAGCAGGCATCATGAAAATGCTTCAACAATTAAAATAGGCTTGAAACAAGTGGAAAAAAATAGATGTCAGTCAAAAAAAAATAAGATTCAACAACAATAAAAAAGAAGATACAAAGAAAAACCAAACGAGGATTTTTGAACTAAAATAATGCAACAACTGGTGAAAAAACCTCAATGGATGTGTTTAACAGCAGAATGAAGAGAAGAAAGAATCTGTGAATGACCAGGTATAACATAGAAATTAAAGAATCTGAATAATAGACAGAAAATAAACTAAAGAAGATCATGTGATCAGAGTCCCATAGGAGAGAAGAAATAGGTAAAGCTGAAAAAAGTATCCAAAGAAATAATTACTGAAAATTTCCCAAATGTTGTTAAACAAACAAGCAAAAAACAAACAGACAAAACCTATAAATGTATGAATTCAAGAAGCGAGGAAAGATATATCTTCAGTACTTGTATGCTGAAAACTAGAAAATGCTGATAAAAGAAATCAAGGAAGATCTAAACAATTGGAGATACATACTATATTCACAAATTGGAAGACTCTCAACACACCAAAGATGTGAATTCTCTCTAAATTGATGCATAGATTAAATGCAATTTCATAATCTATGCAAGGTGTTTTGAAGAAAGGCAATTATTACCAACTTAGAATTCTATACCTCAGATAAATAGAAAGAAACAATTTATCACCATCAGATCTACAGTAAGGAATACTAAAGACAGATCTCCAGACAGAAGGAAAATGACTTTGTTGGAAGGAGGGTACACATACACACACACACACACACACACACAAAGGGCAATGCATATATTGGTAAATATTGGCTGTTCAAAGCAATACTAGTAATGGTTTTTTTGAGTTAAATTATATGTAGAACTAAAAACCCACGACAGCAGAAAGAGGTAAAAGTGCTAACTTAAGATAAATTCTAATAGCTCAAAAATGAATGTTGTAAATTACAGGGTAGCCACAAAAAGAATGATAAGAAATGTATAACTAACAAGATATTAGAAGGGAAAACAAAATGATAAATATCCTTAAATAATTCAAAATAGTACGAAAGAAAAAAAAATAACAATAAAAAACAAACACCAAGATAACAGCTTTAAACCAAAAGAGCATTTATATTAAAAGTGATTGGACTAAATATTCCAATTAAATTTGCTGTTGTTGCTGCTGTTTAGTCACTAAGTTATGTCTGATTTTTTGAGACTCTATGGACTGTAGCCCGCCAGGCTCCTCTCTCCAAGGGATTTCCCAGGCAAGAATATGGGACTCGGTTGCCATTTCCTTCTCCAGGGGACCTTCCCAACCCAGGGATTGAACCTGTGTCTCCTGCATTGGCAGATAGATTCTTTATCACTGAGCCACCAGGGAAGCCCCACTTCAATTAAAGACACTATAAAAAATATACACCATCAGCCTGCTTTCAAAACCAACTAAAGCCTGTTTATAAAAGAAACTATAAATATGATGATACAGAAATTTGACAGTAAGTAGACTGAAAAAGATATATCATTCAAAAACAAGCAAAAGTAAAGCTGGTAAAGTTTGATACTGGATGAAGTAAACATTATTAAGGTGTAAGGTAAAGAGGGATATTTCATTGTATGGTAAGGTCAGATATTTATTGTGTCTGAATGATTTAAAATTTTTTGAAATTTATTGATACAATCTTTATGGCCCACCATATGGTCAATTTGGAAAATTTCTTACTTGAAAAGAATATATATTTATTCTGCAATTGGTAGGTGCCATGTGGTATGTATGTAAATTGGGTTAAGTTCTTTATTTATCTTCATCTAATCCCTATTGATTTTTTTGAATATTAATTCTATCATTTATCAAGAGAATTCTATTAAAAATTTCCAATTTTGATTTTAGATGTGTCTATTTCTCTTTTGAGTCTGTCAATTTTTGCTTCACATGTATTTTAGGATAAATCATAGGTGTATAACACATTTGTGTGTGTGTGTATTAGTTAATCAACTGTGTCTGACTCTTTGCAACTACATGAACTGTAGCTCACTAGGCTCCTCTGTCCATGAAGTTCTCCAGGCAAGAATACTACAGTGGTTAGCCATTCCTTTCTCTAGGGGATCTTCCTGACTCAGGGATCAAACCATGGTCTCCTGCATTGCAGGAAGATTCTTTACCATCTGAGCCACCAGGGAAGCCCATAACACATTTAGTAATTATATTTTCAACTGACTTGACCGTGTTGGGGGCTGGGGTTCTGAGCAGTGATACAAATCTATTATGTGCACAGTATCCCCTCATCCCTGCTTCTGCATCACCTACGGGGGTTGGAGGGCAAGGGAAATTGACATGAACATGGAGTGCATGCTGCCTCATGTACTGTGAATGATAATGTCTTCTGTCTCTGACCCAGAAATCTCGTATCTTCTGCCAGCATTCATGAACCTGTGTTGGGCTGACTAACCAGCTTGCAAGCAGAGTAGGATCTTCACAGTTCTAAACAGTCTTTAAAGATGGAGACAGGATTCCAACAGAGACGAGGCTTTCTCAAAGAGACAGGACATGGGGTCAGGAGCCTAGGTCAGGAGGTAGAAAAAGATGTCCCAGGATTCTGTGGGGA